AAGCTCTATAAATTTGGGTAAAACATTTCCTCGGATATCTCGTAGACGAATTATTCCTTCGACCCAAATCTTGGCGAGGGTCTTTGTATATTTACCTCCTTTCATTCCCCAGATTCTGGACTTTATCTATCGAATGGTTTTGACTTTTATTTTGATCTATTTTGAAGGGCGTGACACTGAAAACCAGCAATAGAGCAGGGGCAGCTGTAGTGTCAACTATTACTAGTATTATAGTAAGATGTCAATTTCAACCCCAAGACATTAGCAACTTTTAGACAAATAGTAAGTCATCTGGTGTTGGCAAAATATGCTATGACCTACAGTTTGAACTGGAATGCATGCGTATTAAATAGCAAATAAATTATTGTTTTTCCATGAATTAATTAACTGATCAGTCCACCCCCAAACTCCCCTATATTTTGCAAGCCCAGCATCATTGAGGAATAAACAACATATAGGGAACTCAAACATTACTATTTACACTTTTATTGCGGAAACCACTAGTTCTTTTGGAAGTTATGGAAAAATGCTCCCTTGTTATTGATTCACAGCATGTCAAATATCTGAGAAAATGTACCATGTTCGGGAGTGATGTAAAACAAAACAAAGGAAATAACATGACTTTTGGAGTTGTACTTTTAGCCCTGGAAGTGATGAGCATCAAATTTCCCCTCTTACATACGTGCATTGTAAAGCAAATACTGGTAGGCCTTTTTACAGTTGCAGCTGGAAATGAGGCTAGAGTTGACTCTGTTTTAACACAACCCTTCCTGCTTTATTAGGTAAATCACGGTATTTTTGTGCAAACAATTATTATTATGCGTACTTTCCATAAGAAAAGTAGGGACGTTTGTATGAACACAAGCTCACCTCCATCATCGCATTCAATAAAAAGCTAGGGTACCAAATCCACTACTTAATACAATATTACAGTAGGGAATACAATTCAGGGGAATAGCAATACTTAAGTCTGGAATCTGTTAGCATTGCCACTGGTCAGGATGGTAAAAAAAAAAAAACCGAAACAGGTAGATCGAAACATGCTACTTTAGATAATTATAAAGCTGAATGAATATGATCTTCTCAATTATTTTACTAACAATTGGCAGAACCGATATAGGCCTATAATTATTAGGATCTGACTTACTTTCGCAACTTTCCAGTCATCAGAAAATATACAGCTCCTGAGAGATAATTAATGATAAATGTTAAAGAAGCTGTGATAACTGGTGCAGCTTCTTTCAGTTAGAGCTTGCATGATATTCTATCAAGGCCATTACCCTTGTTTAAATTTAATGACTGAATGATATTATACACATCTTTACTATTGATTTCATTAATGGCAAATATATGTTGAGTAGGGGTGATATACTCTCTAAAGCTGGTATCCATAGCAGGAAAGTCATTGGCTAGACGTGGCCCTACTTGTGTAAAATGATGATTTAAAACATTACTGATTTCACTTGAGGAAGAGTGAGTTACGTCCTCGATTTTAATGTTATTTATCTCTGCGTGATGGAGATTTTTTCCCACGATCATGTTCACCCCCCTTCCAAGATTCCCTAGTATTACCTAGAGTTTCTCTCAAGTAATTGTTATAACTAGGGGTATCTTCTGGCAAGTGCCAACGAGGCGAATTCGTTTATCTTTTGTGGAATGTGCCTGATAAATGGTTACATGATTTTAGAGGTTTAAAATGGATTCCGCTATAAAAAAGGATGGCACCCAACTTCGAAACAACAACTGTTTAATTGGCACATCCTAGGCTTTCACTTTTATTAAACCATAGCAACATGGCTTGAAGCTTTGTTGGTAAACTGGAACAAGCTAGCACTTATGTTGTATGGAAAATTCCTTTGTATCAAATCTATAAACGTTAAAAAGTAAAGTATAGTTCAACTGAGGCCTTTGACTGCTGAAATTAAAAATAAAAATTAAATTCCGAGCTGTCGCCGATCTGACAGTATCATCAGGGATAAATAAGAAAAATATTTCGCATGGTAATATACATATGAAAAAATTGGTGCAAAGCAAAATGTGTGAAAAGCGCAAGAATGGGGCGGAATGTATCAGAGGTATAAAAATAAGAACTTGAATGAAATACAAAGATCTAATAAGCGAGTGTCACAGGACAGAGTCTCTCGAAAGGCATAATGAAAATGTCCGTATATTCGTTGCATTCCTCACGGAAGTTTAGGGCTGTCTCAATGTAAATCGAGCTACAAAAGAACATGCTGGTTGACAAAAATCTCTCAAAAGGCATAAATAAATTCTTAAATCCAAAAGGTCCGCAAATGCGTTGCATTCCTCACAGGAGGTGAGGACTGGCTCAATTCCTTGATCAGCTACCGCTTAAAACTCGATTTACAAAGGAAAAGCGAACACTGGAAACCCTGTTTGTGTGTCGAGAAGCAAACTATCGAGCGGCGAACAAACTGGTTCTGACAAAAATTTGACCGTAAAAGCCTATTCCATGATCAGGAGCTGCTTTAAACGCAATTTATAAAGCAAACCAGAGTACTAATGGCCCTTTAAACTCTAGAAATCGTATTATAGTTTGCCTACCTGCTAGGTCCTCTTGAACAAACAACGAAGAGCTGCACACTGGATCACCCAATTTCGGACCACGAGTTGTAAATACTAGACCATGACGTCACTACCCAAATATGGGATCTCAATTACACCCAAATATGGTCAAAAATACAAATTTAAGAGGGTTACGAAGAATTTGAGAGTTTTCGCCTACATTGCGCGGCAATATGGTTTCATGAGGTTTCAGTTTTCCCTTTGAAACACATCTGAAATGAATAGACTCTCTGGCCATCGAACTTAAAGTCTTCTGTTATATACCGTAACTGAAAGTGGAGCTTTACATGCAAAACTTTAACAGCCCCCTTTGTGGGGTGGGGTGGTGGGAATCTTAAAGGTTGCGGACCATTTAAGTTTTAAATTGATCGCCGTATTATAGCATGCGTCATGACTTTCTACGATCCACACGCGCACAATTTTCAGTTACGAGTCGTACGAATGACGTGGGTCTAAGTTACACGACACGGTCTGCCGTGAAGTCATGACGTATGTATGGCAACCCAAATGTAGCAATATTCAATTCGTTAAATTTTATATCTAGTTTTGTATTTTGTATTCAACTATGCGTTCAATATTCAACTTGTATTCAACATTCAACGCGTTATTCAATATTCAACTTCCATCAACATTCATCTATTCATTTTAGGGACGGACCATTAGAAAAGTTATGGGGGGAGTGGGAAATTTTTGAGCCGCAGGAATTTGTTTTCGTTATCAAATTACTTGTATGAATTTTTTTTAGGCCGTAGCATGAATATTTTTCAGGGTTAATTGGCCTACATGAATTTTCTTTCATTTAATTTTCCCTTGCGCGAATATTTTTTTTGTACTTCGCCCGCCTCCCCCCTCCCGATAAGTTTTCTAATGGTCTGTCCCTTATATTCAATTCTTCATTCACCCATTCAATTATCTATTCAACAATTTCAACCATTCATTGAACATTCAATTTTAATTGTTAAAATATTCAACTATTCATTAGACTGCTTGCGTCCACTTTTTCTCTTAAAATCCTTCTAAATCTTGATCTCATCCCGCGCGATTGCAAACCACGATGTTATTTTATAGCGATCGAGACAAGACGAGAAAAGACGGGCTGCTGACTGTTTTGTAGTAAACAAACCCTCCGTCAGCCCAGAAACGGAGTAACCGATTGGTCAATTGCACAACTGTTGACAGATCATTGACTGATCTGTGGTGAGATTGCAAGCAATAAAAATAGTCACGCGTCACAAACAACTGCAAACAATAGCGAACCAAGCAGTAATCTCAGTTTAACAATAAAACTTAGAAGGATATCTTACAGAAGGAAACTGCTGTAAATTTCCTCAAGGAAAACGAATTCAAGGCAATCTTACCGGATTTAAAGAAAGTGTAATATTTTCAGATGTTTATGTTCTATTTATAAATCGTTTCAAGCAATTCGGGTTTAGTTGATTAATTAAGTTACCTTGGCAGCTTCGTTGTCCCCAGACAGAACAAAAGAGTCAGCAGTCTTATTTTTCCTTCTCGGGCTTACGCCATCGTTTCTCGCGGCAAGCGGCGAACGTGCTTAGGTTTTGCGTGCAGTAATTGTGCAAAGAAAAATAAAGAGACTGCTCTCAGTATGGCAAGCCAAATGTAGCAATATTCAATTCGTTTAATTTTGTATCTAGTTTTGTATTTTGTTTTCAACTATGCGTTCAATATTCAACTTGTATTCAACATTCAACGCGTTATTCAATATTCAACTTCGATCAACATTCATCTATTCATTTTATATTCAATTCTTCATTCACCCATTCAATTATCTATTCAACAATTTCAACCATTCATTCAACATTCAACTTTAATTTTTAAAACATTCAACTATTCATTAGACTGCTTGCAGTCCACCTTTTCTCTTAAAATCCGTCCAGTTCTTGATCTCATCCCGCGCGATTGCAAACCACGATGTTATTATATAGGGACCGAGACAAGACGAGAAAAGACGGGCTGCTGACTCTTTTGTAGTAAACAAACCCTCCGTCAGCCCAGAAACGGAGTAACCGATTGGAACCGAACGAACAGAATGCCGTCCATGCTTCAAATTTAATTTTCAATAAAATTGTGACAAATCTGTTTGACTTCAATTTAGTTGGAAATCTTAGAAAAGTGTTTAAATTTAAAGAAAACGATTCATAACAGTTTTTTAGAACAGGGAGCCCAAGTCGTCTGAAAATGTTTAAGAAATTATAGGTTGACTTTTCATATGTTAAGTAACAACTTTGATATAAACCTACCATCGCGCACAAATATCTGCATCAAAGAACTGTCAGTCAACTTAGTTGACCCAACTCAGCTTGGTGTTGGCTATTATTCTGCAAGCCATTCTAATCAATACTTTCGAGCAGTCATTTTAACTTTGTGGTTGCATTTTAGGCGAATCTGTAGACATGTTAGACTGCTTCAGTAGAATGACGCTGGAAGTTATACTCTCCACCGCGTTTGGTGTCGAAACTGACATTCAAAACGACAAAGGTAAAAAGGTGAGGGAGGTTTTTCGCACTCCTTGGATAATGGTCATTTTAAGACGGTTTCCTTTTGGAATATACCTTATAAGGATTCTGGCACAAATCATGCGCACTCCAAGGTACTTTGAAAAGGTCGCCTCAGAGATCTTACAGCAAAGGAGAAAAACTGGGCCAACAGGAAGACAAGATTTGATGCATTTGATGCTGACAGCGAACGAGGATTCAACTGAAAAGGGATTATCCAAACTCACCGATGAAGAGATAATTGGCCAGTGTCAGATGTTTCTTTTCGCAGGTTACGAAACTTCGAGCAATACTTTGGCCTATATCACCTACCAGCTGGCCCTGAACCAGAATGTACAGGACAAATTAAGAGAGGAGATCAAGGAAGGAGTCAAGAGAAACCCTGAAAGCTCTCTGTACGATCTTTTTCATGACATTGAGTATCTGGATTGTTATAAATGAGTCACTGCGACTAAATCCACCTTTGGCTCAGGTTAACCGTGAATGTGTCAGCGACTACAAGTTTAATGACATATTTATCCCCGCAGGACTACAAGTCATCATTCCTGTGTATTTTCTACATCGTGACCCTGATGTCTGGCCCAACCCAGAAAAATTTGATCCCGAGAGATTTCGAAGCCCCGCCAAAGACTGTCGTCACCCATACCAGTTCTTGCCATTCGGTTTAGGGCCAAGGTCCTGCATTGGGATGAGATTCGCTCTAATGGAGATCAAGATTGCTTTGGTGAAATTCTTGATGAAGTACAAGTTTGTACCTTCACCCGGGACACAGGTACCTTTGGAAATTCTTGCTGGTGTCACTCTGATCCCGAAATATGGCGTCCACGTGGGAATAGAAAGGGTTTAGAACTCTTTGCTTCGGCTCTCTTATTCTATTTTTGTGTTTGGTGTGGCTATCTCCGTTTGATTAGCTGCTACCATCAGTTTTCTAAACTTTGGGACCTGATGTTGGTAGCTGATATACTCGAACCAGGAAAAAACATTTTTTAAACTAGGATTAAAGAGTAACACTACCTGTTTGGGAGAAAAAAGAAGAAAATGGTTTGTAGTCATAAAAATGTAAAACTAAGGTACAATTAAGTAGAAATTTGAGACGAATAGTTAGATGAATTAAGTTATGAACGTTTCAATAAATTTCGTTATGCATTTCTAAAGTAGACTAAGCTCGTGGTAACAATAATGCCAATTGTGCATCCTTATTGCTTTTAATGGAACTTCATAAATTACTATTGTAAATGGTAAATTAAAATGACAACATCGTGTCAGACAAATATTTCTCTCAAGTACTATTTCAAAAGTTAACAAAAAATCAAAAATGAACTTTTAAGTTAACGAGTTGTTAAAAAGCATAAGCAAAAGTTTGTCCATCCATGCTTCCTTTAGTATTTGCTGTGATAGTTATCCCTTCTGTCCATGTTTTGATCCATTATTTTTATGTTTCACTCAGTTTTGTGGTGGTTCTTACTGTCTGAAATGTCATTTAACACTGATATTCCACAATTTACGATTGGGTCCCAGAAATTTGAAAGAGTTTTTCCCATGAGAAGTAGCATTTTCAACCTCGAAGTAACTGCAACTTGTTTGTGCCTCTCAGTGTAAAGTGACGTAACGAAATTTTTGTAGTTCTGATCTGTTAACTGTCTAGTTTGCGATGTGCTGTGTAACTAAGTGTACTTATTCTAAATCCCGTTTGTGGGATGAACATCAGCTTGTTGGATTGTTGCTGAAAACGTAGCACTATTTGTGAACTGCCTAATTTCAGCTTTCATAAACTCGTTTGTGTTTTGCTCTGGACGAAGCAGGATGACAAATAGTTTTGGCGCGAAAACACACAAAAGAATTCCATATGCGGTGACGATGGCAGTGGCACAGGCCACAATGGTTGTGTAAAAACCTTCCAGGGACGTGTCCACCGGGTAAAATGACAACCAGGAAATCAGGAGCACGTACATCGCCGACCCAATGTATCTCGTTTCGTTGAAGTTCTCTGGAAGTCGCCTGGCTTTAAAGGCGTAACCAGCGCATACTAGAGACAGCAAAATGAAATAGCTAAACATGGTTGCCCTAAGGACACTTCCGATAGCTGATCTGAATGGCATACAGGTGTAAAACACATGTGTCTGTACTCGTATCTCCTGGTGCTCGTAAGGTGGATCAAGAGTTAGCCACAACACTGCCAGAATAACTTCAACTATGTTGAGTCCCAAGACCACAAGAAATTGACGTTTGCGATCCACGATGTATCGCTTGAACCAGTTTGGAATGATGTTGGTCTGAAAAGCGCGGACCAAACGGTTTGTCTTCAAGAAGAGGATGGAAACAAAGGTCGTATTAATAAAGTACCTTAGGGGATAAATAATACAACATAACGTCTTTGTGGGCTGAGCAAGATGGAGCAAGGTGAGAACAAAACACAACGCGATTGCGACAAGCAAAAGAAGGCTAAGTTCGCGATTGGATACCCTCACTAATGGTGTACTCTGGTTCTTCACAAAAACAAAGATGGCCATGCCTGTTGCAAGCAATCCAATAACCGTTAAGATCAAAAATACCACTGCAGTAGCATCTGACCACTTGATGTTGATAACTGGCAAAGGCAGGCATGCTGTACCGTCCCTGTTTGATTTATGTAGTTGTGGGCACTTTGTACAGTTGGGAGAGCTATGCTGTTTACTGATGGAGCCCAAAGGACACTTAATGCATTCCCAGCAACAGGACACAGCGATCGTCTGCCTGGTTCCCGGAGGACAGCGGTGACTGCACGTGGATATGGGAGGCTCATTTTCTTCATTAACCCATTGTATTCGTTTGTCGTTGATTGTGAGGTTGATACGAGTTCCCCCTGTCCATGTCCCCACCTTAACATTTTCATAATTCTCCGCCTGTTTCTGAAAGTTCACGATATCGTACGACGAATAAGTAGGATCACCACTTTCCGTGAACTGCACTTGCCCTGTTATGCCTTGAAAGCTCACTTTCCTGAGTTTCAGAAGCATGGCTTCGGGTGTGACTTTGGCATTTTGCGCAGGACAGTACCCACTCGCTAAAGGTCCGCCTCCGGGCTTTTTACACTTCAGTAAAGAGTCCAGCGCGTGTGCAAGGGCATAGACGGCGTCTGTCAGGTAAGGAATGAACGCGTTGTGTAGTTTGGCGAAGGCTCGATCGTCTATTTTGGCTGGGTTAAGGCAAGCACCTTCAGACATTGAGGAGCAGTTTAGATGGCTTGTCCAAAACTCCTTCCACCACGGATTGGCGCTTTCTCGGGTCTTATTTAGTGTGATTCCCTTAAGATAATCCTCAAACAGATGGTCTGTGAAGAGATAAGGCCTTATTCCTATTGCTCCTTTTAGTATGACAGCATTTGTTTCTAAAACGTCTGGATTCATGCCAGCTATTGCTTCACTAATAAGAAATGTTCGTCCTTTAAGCCCTTGCGCAGTCGCTTCTTCTAGAAATCTTTTTGCAGGTTCATAGGTGCTCCATAAGACGACCACTTTGATGTTCTCAGCATCTTTGAGTTTTCTCACGATTGATGTTATTTTTCCTTTGTATCCCGAAGGCGTGATGTACTCCGAAAACGCGATGCAGAATGTCTTTCGGTCGTAAGCTTCTCGTTCCAACGCGCGCAAACCGTATCGACCGTAGGAATGGTCAACGGCTACGGCTGCAATATACTTCCATTGATAATACTCTATTATGTCAACCATGGCTTTAGCTTGTTGGCCATCCGGTGGAATGGTGCGAAAAAAGGAGTTGAAATACGGTGAGCTCAACTCTTCGCTGGTAGCGGAAGGACTTATAGTTGGAATGGCAGCCACATTCAGTAAACTTGAGACGAGAGTAGTGCTACTCGAATCGGCAGTGCCAATAACCGCAGAAATCGGAGCCGTTAGATTATCCATATTTATTGTAAGCTTCGACTTACAGTTATCACTTTGTCCTTCCAGTAGTTCGTTCAGATAATTACTTTTCACAAAGTCATTGGCTTTTTTCATGGCGAGAACAGGTGTGCCGCAGTAGTCTCGAATGTCGAAGCCCAGTGTCACATTAATTGGTAGAAGCTCAGGATCCTTGTTAATACGCTCGATTGCAAAAGTTATAGCCTCGGTGTATCCAAGGCCGAAAGCGTAAAACTCACCGCATTTATCCTGGGCGGTTTTGACGTGAAGAGGAAGCAAGACTCCTAGAGTAACGTTGCCCGGCTGGTAGAATCGTTTTGGGTCGATGGAGGAAGCTGGCGAAGAGTGTATCAATAACCATAACAATAGGAAATGAAACTGAGACATTTTTTCCGCTTTAAGTCAGTTTACTTTTATGTGCATCAGATTAAGCTAGAAAAGAAAAGAAAACGAAAATATTCATTAATATATATGCCCTTAATAAGTTATTTTTTTCCTTAGTTGGCGTCATTAAAAACCGTTTAAGGTAATTATTATTATGATCCTTTAAAAAGAATCATACCTTATAATAATTGGGTTCAGTTAAAGGGTCAATCTCATGAACTGCGCATGTGCTGGCCGAAGCATAAAACTTGAAAAATTCTGCAGAATATTTCAAGATTGACCCGACTAAAAAAAGATGGCGGCTGCAAGTGGCAGAGGCGGCCGTGGCGGTAAACGAAGGAACTCGGGTCACAAGAAAAAACGATTTCTGACCTGAAATGGTGCAAAAGAGAGTGGTTTAAAAACCTTCAACGTCCTTTCCTCGAAAATAATATATTTCAGTCGTGGCTTACAGTGAAATTCGGGGCAGGATGTGAATGTTCTAGTGACAGCGATTTGGCGGCACGTTCGTTATCTCTTGAATATCGGAAAGGTAAGACTTACGTTTCTTTGCCTGATGATTTAACCGTTAAAGATTATTTTTATCAATGAGTCATATTTATGATCATATTTATGACACTTGCACGAAGACAGGCAAAAGAGGAAATTGAAGGCAAGGTACGACGATGCTTATTATGTTTCAGTGATGTATATGTTTCGTGCTGGTTAGCATTTGTTTTTTTTTCCGTTTCAATGTTGATTATCGAAAAAAACTTGTTTTCCTTAAAGGGCCGCAGACGCAGATTACAGGGGACCAGTGAAATAAGAGGTTTAGAACGGTGCAGGTCTTCTGCCACAGACCTCAACTTAGCCTGCGAACGCTAGACGTTTCTCCTTGTTCATCGCCTCGGAAGGACGTTTCGCGAGGTCTGCTACTCAGCGACAGAAATTCCATACCGATGACGTAAATCAATGTTTACATAATAAATCCGGTAGTCATGGGGTGCCAAATGCAAATTTGTTCAATTTTACGTTTTTCCTGGCCGATTTTGGTAAAGTGTTGTGTTCATCTGCGAATGAGCTCCGGAAAAACTCAAATGCTTCTTCTGGAGAAGACTATATTCCGCAAATATTGACTGTTTTGAAAGAGATTCAATGCCTTTACATTTGACCTTTGCAGCCTTTTGTCTTTTGTCTGTCATTCGTAACATATAGGGAACTCAAACATTGCTATTTACACTTTTATTGCGGAAACCACTAGTTCTTTTGGAAGTTATGGAAAAATGCTCCCTTGTTATTGATTCACAGCATGTCAAATATCTGAGAAAATGTACCATGTTCGGGAGTGATGTAAAACAAAACAAAGGAAATAACATGACTTTTGGAGTTACACTTTTAGCCCTGGAAGTGATGAGCATCAAATTTCCCCTCTTACATACGTGCTTTGTAAAGCAAATACTGGTAGACTGCAGGGTTGTCACTACTCAGAGCATGGCCCCCGGCTACTTTCGTCGTTAAATTAAACCAAAAGAGCACACCTTTGAAACACACAAAGACTATCCATCAAACTAAATGCGAGTTTCAGCTGCAGCAGGTTTAAGTAATTCTGAAATACTCGCGTGCAAAAACTAAGAAAGGTCGGAAAAAGACATCTCACTTAGATTTGGTACTAGCACACACGCGCGAAAACTCTCAGTTCGCGAAATGTCAGTAGGGAGTTTTAGCAACGACGACGGCGGCGGCAACGAGAACGTCAAAAAAGCAATAGGTTTATTGAGCAAAACAACTAGTTTGCACGTGCATCACGCTTTTTTGTACATCTCTTTGCCGTTACTGCACGACTACGACGTGAAAATGCCTAGTTTCACGTTTTATGGAGGACGTAAAACAAGCGACGACAAACTTTTCTTTCTCTTTCTAAACTTGAGTGCGCCCAAAGAAATAAACTCCAGGGAAATTGACCTACATTAGCTATTTTCAGCGAATTGAAATAAACGCGACAAAGTTGGAAAAAACGCCAATTCATTTTTAAAAGTGACGTTTTCGATGCTAAAAGTCCCTAGTTTCAACCGTTGTGTAGGGTTTGTGTTGAACATGTCGAAGAAGTGCAAATGATTCTGCACTCTTTGTTCACGATGAAAGACCTGAGCAGATCTCTGTTGACATCACAAGTTGAGTTCATCCGAGGGTTAAATCTCCCTGATGCTGATGTTGACGATAATTAGGATTATGATGAAGGCTTTGAAGATGAAGACTATGACTGATTGCCATGTTTAATATGTGGACATTTAAGTGACCAGGTCTACATTTAGCTTTAGGTATCGAGTATATAAAAAAACGCACGGTCAACGGGAAATATTCGATCATTGTCCGCAGGCCATGATTACATGCTCTTAGTTCTACTTCCAAGAAGTTATATATAAAAGGGAAGTTAAGTATTAGCATTACTTTTACATTCTTCTCCTTGAGTCTCGTTTTGACATCTCAGCGTCGTTTATAAAGTATTAGCCCTGTAGTTTAAACGCTTTTCCGTAGGTCAGTTTCTTCGTATGTTAAGTGATGTTTCGCTCATAAATTCGAGACCATGCACTAATGTCACCAGTTGTGCAATTTAGTTTTGCCATATTTTATCCCGCGATTTTTCGTGCGTTACGCTTGTTTTAGCCTTATCATACTTTTATTTTTCAACAAGCCATAGTAACCTTATGTTTATGATGCTTTTTCGTACATTCATCGTCCGCTTTTCTTCTTTCCGCTTCTGCGTGGGTTAATTCATTTGCAATATTAGTTTCACTTTTGTTTTCCGTAAGTTGTTTCGTTCTTACGTATAACTAAAATAATGAGGATTTACAATTGATTTTACAGCGCATGTTAATTCATTTGCACCGTATAAGAATCGATTGTCCTTTCAACATTTTTAGCATTTGTAAAGTATCGTTGTGATTTAACACTTCACTGGCCAGCATGCGCCTTGTCTGCGTGAAGATAAGACTGCGCAGATAACGTGACCGGTGCCAACCTGTCCTTTTTTTTAGGCCCGGTGCTTACATGTATATTCCCATTTGGCGGCCACCAAAAAAACCCTCCAACGAGCCTTTACGTAAAGAAATTTAACTATTATTTTAGTGTCTCAGAATGTTGTAGTTTTCTTTAATAAAGACGTGATCATCATAAAACCGCTAATGATAGCTGTACTCTTGATGAAGATTGCTTTTTTGGGGCGGTAATGCCTTTTCGAAAACGGTAGAAGCTGCACTTCAAAAACTTCTTGGGGGAGGGGGTGGGGGAGGGGGCTCCATGACTGCTTGCGACTTCCCCGGCTACTAACAACAAATACCCCAGGAGCACCCAACGGTAACTTTCGGGAAAATATCTGTTCGGAAGACGATTTGAGAACTAGAATTTTAGGAACATTTGTTGTAAAATTTCTTGCTTGCCTGCCTCTCCTAGGATTTTCGAACATCTACAAAGTGGTATAATTACCCATTTTAAACGGATATTTACCCTAAAAAAGGCCACCTAGAATTTTCGGGAGCCTTTTCCTGGCTGAAATTTTCGAAAAGGTAAGTTTTGATCCCTATAATTTTCGGATCACTAGACTTTCAACTAGGAAATCCGAACAGATGAAAAGTTTTTAGGGGATAAAAATATGCCTATATCTACCGTTTAAATACTAAAATACTTTCAACAATGCTATGTTAAGTGGTTTCTAACTATATCCTCGTTGGGTGCCCCTGATACCCGGCAACTTGAAATCTTAGTGACAACCCTGGTAGGCCTTTTTACAGTTGCAGCTGGAGATGAGGCTAGAGTTGACTCTGTTTTAATACAACCCTTCCTGCTTTATTATGTAAATCACGGTATTTTTGTGCTAACAATTATTATTATGCGTACTTTCCTTAAGAAAAGTAGAGACGTTTGTATCAACACAAGCTCACCTCCATCATCGCATTCAATAAAAAGCTAGGGTATCAAATCCACCACTTAATACAATATTACAGTAGGGAATACAATTCAGGGGAACAGCAATACTTAAGTCTGGAATCTGTTAGCATTGCTACTGGACAGGATGGTAAAAAAAAAAACCGAAACAGTTCTCAATAAGTTGAATGGTAAAACACTCTTGTGCCCCTAACTGTGGTGAGAAATCTGGGTACATGATTTTGGGCAATTTCATTTCATGATCCAAGATTCCAATAAATTCCTGAAAAAAAAGAAGAAAAAATCACCAAAATGCCAAGAAGTCTTTTCTATCTGAATGATACTAGAGAGCAGTAAGTCTTCATGATAAACAATATTTATAACCTTGCAACATACATCCAAGATAAAGCAAAAGAATCAAAGTGACTCAAGAGGAGTGAAAAAAAGTAAGAGGCTAAAGAAAATTGGCCCGCTAGTAGTTTAGCCAGCTAAGCTAACCAGGCTAAGCTACCAGCTACCCTAACCGAAGATGCTAAAGAAGTTATCCACATTATACTATAAAAGCAGCTGACTTAAAGGGGCTATGTCAGCTGGTGAGCATGCGCTCTGAGGTTATGCAAATTACTTCCAACTGTCAAAACTCTATTGTTTTTAACGCGTGACTTTCTCCATGTGCGCTCTGAGGTTATGCAAATTACTTTCAACTGTCAAAATTCTATTGTTTTTAACGCGTGACTTTCTCCATGTTCTCTGTCACGTCCAAGGCTCCGAATTTAGAGAGGTTAACAAGCGAAATGGGTTTAGATAAGGAAAATTTCGATAGAATTTACGGAACGTTTCTTCTCTGGTTATGCTAGATCAAGAATATAATTGTGACGACAATTTTACTTGTAGTTTTGGGGTAAAAACGCATGCCATTCATAAAATAGTGCGCAAACAAAAATTCAACAACAGCATATTGTCTTATTCAACAAAATAAATCGAAGTTGTATTTTACAAACGAGCTACAAAAGACGCTAGACCGAAGGTAAAGACCGAGACTGTTTCAAATCATTAACAATTAGACTTGTCTGTCGCTAGTGATTTTATAATTTAGATGCTGATAGAACAAGAGACATCAAGTCTCTGTTTTGATCTTAGGGAAACATACATTATCGCGCAAAATTGTTCGATCGCGCCGAATCACTGCGACGTCGAGAAAAACAGAACCAAGCATCATTGGTATACTACTCCACTATAAGCAGTCCGTTGATAAAAAGGGAAAGTAAACTCTGCTATTTTCCAAAAATATGCTCGAATACAAACAGTTCAAAAACATGGCATTTACAGGATCTAACTCGTACTAAGGTGCCTCTGTAAGTCCGTTGAGAACAATCTGGACGAGCAAACGGTCGTGTTTATCTTTGCCGTGAATCCAGAGAAATACAAGAAGAAATCTAGCCGAATTCTATAATGTTTCCTTCGCCAGGAGTTTAGTTTGGTCACGAAACTCATGTCCTGATGCTAATGTAATCGTTTACCAAAAACGGCCGCCGCCAACTCGATAGCCGCTTCATTATATGTCCACATACTTTGAGCACAAGAAAAATCCAAGAGCCAGCAACCTCTGAAATAACTAAGTAGAAAGGTTCTGTGAACTATAGGGAAGATTCCATCAAAGATTCCATCACTCATTGTGGAGTAGCCGTCATTAACTCTGCCATTAAAACGGCCGCTGATAAGAGGACACAGTAAATCCACGTAAAAACATTCCACAGGCAAACAATTTCAAAATAACGCCAAAAAATTATTCTGTAATCACCATAGAACGATTCTTAATACAAAACTTCGCTAACTATCGAACGATGGCTGAGATTTAGACAGATAAAAACAGCCTTCCAAAATCTCCGACAGAACTTGAAAAAGACAGGCCAACTTTTTCAAGTTTGTTTTCATTGGCTCGCGCATGCGTGTGGGGTGACATAGTCCCTTTAAGTCATGTACAGCTGTAGTTGTAGAGTACACTTTTTATTCACCTTCACATGTATATGTTATTGCACCATTGCGTTAGTCTCTGGAAATGTAAAAAAATCCAAATACCACATTGACATCGTCTTTTTCCTTCACTCTGAGCGTCTTCTGATAATCTTTCGGTTTGTGCATGGTGTCACTTGCCAGGCGAAAGCCAAGATTTCCACGTGGTCGCACCTCCTTGCGATTCCTGAGAGGCACAAAAATAACCGTCCATGGATTTCTAACGAAGAGGAAATTCAGAAAAACTAGAAATGCAATCGTTATATTTTTCTTACGATGACAACTTACCCTATTTTTACTACTGGAATTACAACTGTCTCCGCACTGGCCTTTGCACGAACATCCTCTGTTACTGTGTCCTTTGCTTTTCGTGCTGAAACAGCTCTTACAACTACATCCTTATGATCTTACCTAACGATAAGAGTTCGATTTGGCGCGTTCTAAATGTTAAACTAAAGAAATCGAGGCATTCCAAGCAAAATATTTCCACAATACTGAAGAATCCATCACGGCGGCAATGATAAACAAGAGCGTTGTGAGGGCGATCTCCCGAGCATGCGCAACTCATGAGACTGCCTCTTTAAACGAAATGTTTTCCGCTTTAACGAAGATGATGGTTTCAAGAAATATTACATTTTCACTGAAGAATGAATAGGAAACTAAAAATCTTTTTAGCACTTTTGGTATATTCATTTAGCGGAGGTGGCAAAGCTTGGCCGGAGGCATTAAAAACAAATCTTGGCCACTTATCCCGGAGTCCTTCGAAGATTAAACTTCCTTTTCGTTATGTAAACGACTTGTCAACCCGATTGCTTATTTGGTGTCAGTTCTGTCTGTTTTTCAAGATCTAAAAGGGGGAAAACATCTCCGTTCCAGTTGCGACATGACTAATTTCAAAGTTGGAGATGACTTTACACCCCTTGGATTTCCTATGGTAGTCGCTTACTCAGAGGGCATGTTGTGTCCCCGCAAACTTAGCCTATTCCCCATTTTAATGTACCTGCCTGTAATGTACCTGCCTGTGATCTTCTTATAGTTTCTTATTAGCCTAATCAGCCTATCAGTCAAATCAAAGCCTTATTTACCTACGGTATCTCTTCCTTACAATGCTCTTCCGGAGAGCGATGCCCTAAATTACAATAAATCTAAAATTTAATAATTAGTCTAGAACCAGGTAATATATATACTAATAGCGGGGCTCCCACGCGCGCTTCGCGTGCGTGGGACAGAGTGCCATACTCATGGAATATGGTCAACCTCTTTTCGTTTGGTTGTCACGTGATTGACATACGTACGTACGCATCTACAGATTGTACGGGTGGGGTAGGGGAGACTATCAAAAGGAAGGGAGGGGTGTCTCTGGCGTGTCTTGGCAAGTCCACATCTTTTATATACGACGTTCACAATATGGTCAATTGACAGCTGTCAAAACAGGATAGCCACTGACCAGTATCCCATGACCATATCGCAGGCTCATGTGTCAACTCATCGAGGTGACATGATTTATTTGGAAGCTGTCCGCTGACCAGTTAACTGTTTTACTAGATCGCGAACAACGTTTAATCTCATACTTTCTAGCGTAGTTTGGAAGCACAGGGAAACTGATAATGCTCACATATTGGATATCAATGTTTTGATCAATTGACAGCTGTCAAAACAGGGTAGCCACTGACCAGTATCACTTGACCGTATCGCAGGCTCAGGTGTCGACCCATCAAAGTCAAGTATTTTTTGAAGTTATCCGCTGACAAGTCACTAGTTTTCAAGTGTTCGCGGGCTCAAGTTTATTTTTTTTAAATTGATATGAAATATGTTGTGTTTATGTGCCGCACAATTAAAATTTTGATTTCAAACTGACCTCGGACGCGAAAATTCAGCCAGCTGTTACAGGCGGGGAAGCGCAGGGAAGACAGTTGCTTTTGATTTTTCTCACCATGGTCACGCGTTGGTCACGCTCTACGTTCAATTTTTAAGCTCTGATTGGTCAAAATTTAACAGGTGAGTTCATGCTGAAAATTTATGCAGCATCTTGAATCTTGTTTACTTTGACACCTGAAGCTGACAGAGTTTTATGTCAACTTGTGATGTTTTTAATTGTCTTTTTCCACTGGATGTACAAAATAAATTTCAGCTGCTATCAGGAGTCTTCTGTTATTCATGGCTAGTTTGTTTATTGGGTTTTTGGTTGAACAATACGTAGCTTGTCAAAGTCGGAAATCGAATTTCGGATGGCATCGTTTTCGTTTTCACCTTGCTTGATGCGTAAGAGGGTTGCAAAGTCTGAAGCAATACTGGCCTTACTTGATACCTTTCAGGAGCTGCATCTCGAATGGTAGGCCAGAGTAATTATCGTATTTGATGTTTGTTTTTTGTATCTAATTTAATGAAGTCGAGCGTAGTTTATGCGGGTATTTAGTTTATGCACGTTTGTAAGATTTGAGACAATGCCCGGGGAGACAATGATCTGACCGAGTATCAGGTTTGATATAAGCTTACAGAACTTTAAAAAGCCTTTAGACAGTTTCTCACTGCAAAAAGAAAGAAAACGTTTCAAAGAAGATTTAGTTTTAATTCTGGCTGTAAAAGAAAGCTTTGAGCGATTTTCTTACCTCGAGTTCGTCTTTGAAAAAAAGCAAACACCGGGAAGCCGGCTTAAAAAAAGGTTAAAGGTTAAAGGCATGTTTATAGTGGAAGGTGCACTTAGCTAGTCAGCTAATTTACAGGCACTCCACTCAAATATTTAGAAACAAATAATTCAAATACAACATAACAGGATTAAAAACCCCAACTGGCAGAAGGCAACCAGTTGGCTATTTACAAGCGTGGCCGAGAATTTGAACTCGGGACGACCAAGCACAAATCCAGCAAGTGGCCAGAGCGGGACTCGAACCCAGGACCGCCGGATTGCGAGTCCGACGCGCTGACCACTCGGCCACGCTGCCTCCCTCCCTCCCTCCTCTTAAAACATTAACTTAAGCTTAAAGCTTGAAGACTCAGGATTTTTAGAGACACTTTAATACTTGTCTTCCTGAATGAAAATTGTTGTCTCTGTATATGTTTCACTCAATTATATTTCTTTTATTGATTGTTAGTAGTCTCTCTTGTTATTTTAATTCCTGTGCCGATTGTTTTCAGTCGTTCAGTGAACATCGCTTCCAGGAGTACTCAAAATGCCGCGCGTTAAACCATTTTAAAATAAAAAAATAAACATAATACATTCTTTATTATGTTGGAGCGTAACTCTGTTGATGTTCATTCAAACACTCGCCACAGCTCGCACTGCACAAGTGAGAACCGGATGGCCGTATAGGTGATTTTGGAAATTTTTTTAACGGTTTAGCTAAAAGCCCACTCGTATTTCCATGGTCCTAAATATTCAGGGGCACCTAACGAGAATATAGTTTAAAAAACTTAAACATAGCACTGTTAAACGTACTTTAGTATTTAAACAGTAGATATAGGCATATTTTTATCCCCTAAAAATTTTTCATCTGTTCGGATTTCCTAGCTGAAAGACTAGTGATCCGAAAATTATAGGGATCAAAATCTACCTTTTTGAAAATTTCAGCCAGATAAAAGGCTCCCGGAAATTCTAGGTGACCTTTTTAGGATAAAAATCCGTTAAAAATGGGCAATTATACCATTTTGTAGATGTTCGAAAATCCTAGGCGAGGCAGGCAAGCAAGAAATTTTACAACAAATGTTAAGAAAATTCTAGATCTCAAATCGTCTTCCGAACAGATATTTTCCGAAATTTGTCTTTGGGTGCCCCTGAATATTGAATGAGTGCAATTTACATTTCAAAAGTGTGAAATACTGCTTTCTGTCCAAGGTCTGTGTGATAAAAACTGTGCCTCACAGTACTGTTTCGCCTAAGATGTGATTTATAAATGGTATAGAAGGTTGGTTTACACGCACCCAGATTTGTTGGCAAGATTCTGCAAAGTAAACTTGTCGAACGCAAAAGATTCGCCCTGATTTTTTTTCTAGGCCTAATTAATCTACGGTGATCGACGATGATTACCAGTTTTGGGGTGCACAATTATGAGGCTATCAACTCCATGTAAGGTTTGGTTCACTCTTGGGTTGTTTGCAAATTATTTTTCTCTAAAATCACTTAGCCTTTCCCTCAAAAGTCACATAAATGTGCTCTAAAGTTAACTTAATTGTGGAATATAAGTTTATTGTTTGATTTAGATTATAAATTTATTAATGGGAGTCTCGCTTTTAGCCCTGGCTAAATCTATATATTAGAATATAAACATACGAATTGAGGAATTAATGAACAGTAAAAACAGGGCTAAAAAGCCCTATCTAAAATCCCGCATTCTGAGCCTGTTTTTAAAGGAAGTAACTGACGGCTGCGTTTTAATTTCATCGGCAAGGTCTGTTCCATAGCACTGCACCACTATAACAAAACTATTCCTTGCAGCATCTGTCTCCGGTGTTCGAATAAAAATATTGTTTGAGCTACCTCTAAGGGTATATGCATGCACTTGTGAGATAGGTTCAAACAAAGATTTTAGGCCTACTGGAACTAGTTTATTAATGGACTTATAAGTGCAGATCGCCAACTGCTTTTTGTGCCTTTGACCAAGAGTTTCCCAACCGAGGTCATTCAAGAAATCGCGCAATGGATCGATGTTCGTAGCCTAAATAATTTATTATTCTTGCAGCTCTATTTTGCAATTTCTGGAGTCTGTCAGACAGGCAGTTAGCTAAGCATGCCCACACCTCACTGTAATAATCAAAATAATGCAATATAAGAGCCTCATACATCCTAACCAATATCTGGCGGAAAACATAATCACGAACCTTCTCCATAAAGTTTAAGCTTTTCAAGTAAAATGTTATGGTCGACAGTATCAAAAGCTTTCCTCAGATCGAGAGAGAGAGGGAGAGAGAGAGAGAGAGAGTACACCGTTCAGCGAACCATTGTCGATATTTAAATACCAGTCATTTGTAGTTTCAAGTACAGCAGTAAGAGTTGAATACATTGGTCTGAAACCATGTTGAGAAACAGCGAGAAGACCATGCTACTTTAGATAATTATAAAGCTGAGTGAATATAATCTTCTCAATTATTTTACTAACAATTGGCAGAACCGATAGAGGCCTATAATTATTAGGATCTGACTTACTTTCGCAACTTTCCAGTCATCAGGAAATATACAGCTCCTGATAGATAAATTAATGATAAATGTTAAAGAAGGAGTGATAACTGGTGCAGCTTCTTTCAATTAGAGCTTGCATGATATTCCATCAAGGCCACTACCCTTGTTTAAATTTTTTAAATGACTGAATGATATTATACACATCTTTACTATTGATTTCATTAATGGCAAATATATGTTGAGTAGGGGTGACATACTCTCTAAAGCTGGTATCCATAGCAGGAAAGACATTAGCTAGACGTGGCCCTACTTGTGTAAAATGATGATTTAAAACATTACTGATTTCACTTCAGGAAGAGTGAGTTACGTCCTCGATTTTAATGTTATTTATCTCTGCGTGATGGAGATTTTTTTCCCACGATCATGTTCACCCCCCTTCCAAGATTCCATAGTATTACCTAGAGTTTCTCTCAAGTAATTGTTATAACTAGGGGTGTCTTCTGGCAATTGCCAACGGAGCGAATTCGTTTATCTTTTGTGGAATGTGCCTGATAAATGGTTACATGATTTTAGAGGTTTAAAATGGATTCCGCTATAAAAAAGGATGGCACCCAACTTTGAAACAACAACTTTTTAATTGGCACATCCTAGGCTTTCACTTTTATTAAACAATAGCAACATGGCTTGAAGCTTCGTTGGTAAATTGGAACAAGTTAGCACTTATGTTGTATGGAAAATTCCTTTGTATTAAAACTATAAACGTTAGAAGTAAACTATAGTTCAACTGAGGCCTTTGACTGCTGAAATTAAAAATAAAAATTAAATTCCGAGCTGTCGCCGATCTGACAGTATCATCAGGAATAAATAAGAAAAATATTTCGCATGGTAATGTACATATGAAAAAATTGGTGCAAAGCAAAATGTGTGAAAAGCGCAAGAATGGGGCGGAATGTATCAGAGGTATAAGAATAAGATCTTGAATGAAATACAAAGATCTAGTAAGCGAGTGTCACAGTACAGCGTCTCTCGAAAGGCATAATGATAATCTTCAAGACAAAATGTCCGTACATTCTTTGCATTCCTCACGGACGTTTAGGGCTGTCTCAATGTAAATCGAGCTGCAAAAGAACATGCTGGTTGACAAAAATCTCTCAAAAGGCATAAATAAATTCTTAAATCCAAAAGGTCCGCAAATGAGTTGCACTCCTCACGGGAGGTGAGGACTGGCTCAATTCCTTGATCAGCTACCACGTATAACTCGATTTACAAAGGAAAAGAGAACACTTGAAACCGTGGTTGTGTGTCGAGAAGCAAACTATCGAGCTGCGAACAAACTATTTCTTACAAAAATTTGACCGTAAAAGCCTATTCCTTGATCAGGTGCTACTTTAAACGCAATTTATAAAGCAAACCAGAGTACTAATGGCCCTTTAAACTCTATCTAGAAATCGTATTATAGCTTGCCCACCTGTTAGGACCTCTTGAACAAACAACGAAGAGCTGCACACTGGATCACCCAATTTTGGACCACGAGTTGTAAATACTAGACCATGACGTCACTGCCCAAATATGGGATCTTACTTACACCCAAATATGGTCAAA